TTTTTTTTTTTTTTTTTTTTTTTTTTTTTTTTTTTAAAGCGAGCATTTACCGAAAAAACGACTGAACTGAAAAAGTGACAGTTTTGTACCTGGAGGTCTATGCGGCCCTATAACGCAATGCCTTCGTCCCAACCGACGCTCTTCCTGCTGCATGCCGGAAGAGACCAGAGCGTGGCCAATATGAGCCCAAGTGTTAAGCTTCCACGCAAAAATCATTTCTGCTATTAACGATCTGCAAGTTTAGTACAAAAAAGCATGATCGCACCGGCGAGCTTGGTGCGTTCCAGCCTGGGCTTTTTTCCAGTTTAGCATCATTTATGCAAAAAGTTACTGTGGAATTTTTGTTTCTTTGTGTGTATGCGTGTGTGTGTATTTGTATTTACTCTGGAATTACAGAAGCTGCGAAGTTAAAATTCTGAAGGAGTGTTGCAGGACTTTGTGCAGTGTTAACAAACTGCGAACCATTTGTATTTCGTTGTGCTGTGATTTGAAGGTCCTAGTCCGAGCTAATTATGTTACTCGAGAACAAAGATAATGACTTGAGACTTAAAAGAGTCATTTCACCACAGAACGAAAATTTCTAAGTTAGCCCTTACCAAATCCTGAGTGGGATTGCTCGTGCATGTTTTGGCTAGCTTATAATTTTTAATAAATTAACAATTTACTAAGGAAAAATACGAATCCTTGTCTGCCGTGCTTTTCACCTTCTGCTTGTCTTACCTCCTCTTCGCAACTTCGCTAGTACAGTGGAGCATTTCCTTACTGCTTCTTCATTTCTATGGTAGTTGCTTGGGAAACTGTTATGCTTTTGTCTGATTATCACTTTCAAAATACTTTTTTTAGATGTCTTTACATGTAATGTAGGGGGGCAGCGAACACTGCTTTCATGCGCAATGTTCAAACACGGTCGTGAGCCGTGCTCAAAAAATCTTAGCGCACTAGCTGCTCTTGCTGCGGAAATGCAAAAATATCAGCATCAAACTGCATGTTTCTGTGTGGGAGAT